CAGACTAGTATATAGGAGCCCTGGGTTTGAATCCCCATTCTGGCTTGGAAACTGGATGGGTGACCTTGGGCCAGTCACACACTCTCTGCCTAAGCTACCTCACAGGGGGGTGGCTGTGAGAAACATGTAAGTCACTTTGAATTCCATTGGTGGGCGGAGGTGGGGTATAAATGAAGTAAAGAAAAAAAACATCTAACCTAGCATACCTTCCTGGCCTCAATAGACAGTTTTTCCTAAACCATGCTGATAATATCCCATTCTTAGTAGAAGAGAGCAAGAGTCCAAGAGCCAGTTTGGTGTAGTGGTTAAGTGCGCGGACTCTAATCTGGAAGAACCGGGTTTGATTCCCCACTCCTCTACTTGCAGCTGCTGGATGACCTTGGGCAAGCCATTGTTCTGTCAGATGTGTTCTTGAAAAGAGCAGTTTCTCTCAGAGCTCTCTCAGCCCCATCTACCTCACAGGGTGTCTGTTGTGGGGAAGGGAAGGGAAAGGAGTTTGCCGCTCTCAGACTCCTTTGGGTAGTGAAGGGCGGGGTATAAATCCAATCTCTTCTTCTTCTTAAAGACTAACAAAATCTGTGGCAGGGAATGAGCTTTTGTGAGTCACTGCTCACTTCTTCAGAACTTCTGACGAAGTGAGCAGTAACTCCCGAAAGCTTACCCTACCACAAATTTTGTTAGTCTTTAAGGTGCTCCTGGACTCTTGCTGTTTTCCACTGCTACAGACAGACTAACATGGCTACCCATCTTGATCTATCCCATTCTTAACAGTTTAATAGTACTTCTGCTTGATATTTGTGTTTGTGATGTCATTTAGTCCAATATTTAATATTATTTATTTACAACAATGGCATTCTCATTCTTTGCATCTCCTGTCATGTCTTGTCTTTATTACTATTCATTATAATATTTATTTTGTTCTTATATTGTTTTATAAAATTCTACTAAATAGAGTTGCTTCAGAAAAAGCTTCCTGAATTAAGAAGTTCCAGTAATCAGTTCCAGGTTGCACCTTCTTCTTCAGTGGCTACCAATAGTCACTTCATAAGAACATAAGAGACGCCAGTGTTGGATCAGGCCAATGGCCCATCCAGTCCAACATTCTGTCACACAGTGGCCAAAAATACCAGGTGCCATTTGGAGGTCCAGCAGTGGGGCCAGGACACTAGAAGCCCTTCCACTGTTGCCCCCTCCCAAGCGCCATGAATACAGTGCATCACCTGCCCCAGCCTGTGAATTCCTATCTATACCTTGTGGCTAATAGCCACTGATGGACCTCTGCTCCATATGTTTATCTAATTCCCTCTTGAAGCTGTCCATGCTTGTAGCTGCCACCGCCTCCTGTGGCAGTGAATTCCATATGTTAGTCACTCTTTGGGTGAAGAAGTATTTCCTTTTATTTGTTCTAACCCAACTGCTCAGCAATTTCATTGAGTGCCCACAAGTTCTTGTATTGTGAGAAAGAGAGAAAAATACTTCTTTCTCTACCTGCTCCATCCCATGCATAATCTTGTAAACCTCGATGATGTCACCCCTCAGTCGTCATTTCTCCAAGCTAAAGAGCCCTAAGCGCTTTAACCTTTCTTCATAGGGAAAGTGTTCCAACCCTTTTATCATTCTAGTTGCCCTTTCTTCCCTTCTTCCAATGCTATAATATCCTTTCTGAGGTGTGGTGACCAGAATTGCATGCAATATTCCAAATGAGGTCGCACCATACAATTTATACTTCAGCAGAGGAAACTCTGCCTGGCTCACCTTTCAAGTCCTGGCTCCTGTTGCCTGCAAAATAATCCCTGTGTTTGAACAGGTCCATTCACTGATCCTGTGAATTCACATGGCATGTGTGTAAAAGGAAATGATGCCGCTGCAGATTAAAGCAAACGCGCCTCCCCCAAAAGTCTCTGTCTTGCAGGTTTCATCGTCTTTTGCCACAGGGCCCAGGCAAGGCGACAGCACGTTCTATGAGTTCCGTACTTACACGGTTAAACCAGACAAGATGAAAGACTTCCTGGAGCTGACTAGCAAAAACATTCACCTTCGGACTGCGCACTCTCCGATGGTTGGCTATTGGACCTTGGAGTTCGGGGGAATGAATAAAGCTTTCCATATTTGGAAGTATGGTATGGACAGCTCAGCCTCACAAATGCCTTGTATTCTGAGAAGATAATAGAACTGTTCCTCTTGGAACTTTTAGAGTTTTTTTTAAAAAAATAGCTACTCAATAGAACTTTAGACCTCTTCATTCTGGTCTCTGGACTCTGATATCTGATCATGGGATTGACTGTGTATTTGTTTTCCTGTATCTGGTCTTTCCTCTAAGGAGCTTAGGATGGCACGACAACCCTGTGAGGTAGGCTACACACACACACACAGTGATTGGACCAGGCAGAGTCACTCTTGAATGGGGACTTGAAACTACATCTCCTTGGGCCACGTTCAGCATGCTTCCCATGTACTCCACTGCCAAATTTCAGAGCAGCAGCTGCTTACTGCTTTCGTCCCGTCTCACAGGCCACATTCGCTATCTGAAGTGCAGTTACGGATAGTGCAGAGGAGGTAGAAAGTGCGTTGACTCACATTGCCAATCCTAATGTACCTATGAAACGATTGTAACATTAGGTATTTATGCTACACTTCTCCTAAAGTGTTTCATATGTATTATTTTAGCAGTTTTACAATGCCTTTGTAAGGGTAGACCAGTGTCAGGCCTCCCCATTACAGATTTGGGTGCTGAGAGAGGGGGCCCTTCTGTGGCTGAGCCAGCCAGACCTTGCTCTTAACCCATCATGTGGTACTTTCTCTCAAGCAGCTTGTATTCTGCCCTGATTTCGAGGAAGATGCTATTTTGGAGAAGAGCCGATTAAGCACTTGCACCCCTTTTGAATGGTTCTCTTTACAGAGACTGGTGGAGGTGGGGGGGGGAAAGGAAAAGAGTCAGGAGAAATAAATAACAGGGGCATTTATTTTCAGACAAAATCAATATAGAGGCAAATTGTCAATTTGAGCATTGGAATTTCAGTGTCCTGAAATTTCTAGGTCCTAGCACCTCTTAACACAGTTTTTATGTAATGATTTTTAAAGAAATCCCTGTAACCTAGTAAAATGCCTCAGGGGTTCAGGTTGTGGTTTCTGACCGTCCAGTTCAGTCTCACTGAAATTGCTGTATCTTGTTCCAGTTTAATGATTCTTGTATTGCACAATGTGTGTGTTTGTACAGAATATACTGGGCGTCCTGTGCTGCAATTGGCTTAGTTTCAGAAGCTACATAACGTGCCATTTTTCAAATGTCAACAGCATAAATCCCCCATCAGCCCCCTGTTTGTATACTTTGGTCCTCTGAGGGTTTTCATAGCAAGCACAAATAGTAATACTTTCCCAGCAGGAACAGCGGTGCTTCTGTTGTATTTCTATTCTGGGCTGGGGGAATGGCACAGTAGCTATGCATACTGTAATAAGATAGCAGAGTGTGTATAAAGGTATGCAATCTTTTTGATAGATCAATCAGTTAAAATTTAAGTTGGCCTGTGAGGGCCAGGTTCCATTGGTCCAGGCATAAAGATTGAAAAAGGAAATATAAAAAGGTTCCTCCCCTCTTGCCCACCAAATAGTAGGGCAGACATAATGTTGGGGATTTCTTGATTGCTGAGGGGTAGAGATGCTGTTAAAGTGCTGCAGGACTAGGATCTCACCCAGGTTCAAATCCCACTACCACCGTGGAAGCTTGCTGGGTGATGTCACGACCCCTTTGCCCTAGGGCCTCTTTGCCAACACCCTTTCCCCGGGCTGTCTTAGAGACTTGGGCTATATATCACCAGAGGTCATTTCGGGGGGGAACGCGGGGGAACGCAGTCCCCCCGGGTGAGGTACGGGGGGCGGGGCACATGACGAAGCCCCGCCCCCTGCTTCCGGCCGCCCCGCTTCCGGCCCTCATTCAGCCAGGAGGAGGCAGGAGAAGAGGGAGGGTAAGTTGCTTCCCCCCTGCCTCTCCCCACCCCTGCCTGCCTGGGGCCAGGGAGGGCCTTCGCGGGGCTTCCTCGCACCCTCATGGGGCTCGCAGTGGAGCTGCAAGGCTGCCGGCGGCGGCCGGGACCGCTGGGGACGGGGTGTGTGGCCTTATGACACACTTCCGGTGATGTCAGGGGGTGTGGCATATGCTAATGAGTTATGCTAATGAGTTCCCCTAGCTCCTTTTCTACGAAATGACCCCTGTATATCACTCTCCTCGGGGTCAGTTCAACCAGCACAGTAATAAAGGTGTGTAAAACAATTTAATTGCTTTTTGTTTTTGGTAGCCGAACACCTTCAAAGGCGTAATTCGTGGGCTAGAGACTCCGTCCCATTATAGAAATATATATATTTATTTAAAAGAGAGAAAATAGTTAAAAACTCCAAGTAGGGGAAGGAACAAATATACAGAGCACAAAGTAACACAAAGAAATCTTATCTTACTAGCTACATACATACATAACCTTGAGCTTAGAGCTCACAGCAGCAATAATAGGC